TATATTTTTACGAAGTGTAATTACGAAGTGTAGGAAAAAGGTTGAAAAGCGCTCCACCTATTAAATGATGTAACGTGTACTACATTTTGCATATTTCGCGCGTTTTTGCGCACACGTTACGTGTGCCTGATGCATTTTTGCACTTTCTCATTTTCCATAAATACATAAAAACCCGCAGTTTAACAGCGATCACAAAATTTCATTCATATTTTCATTCGTTATTTACATTCCACGTCATCGATATATCTGCATTATTCATATACCTGCGTTGTTTCATATTTTTTTAACAGGATCGTTACACAAATGTTACATAAATAACAGCTGTGTATAAAGGCAGAATTATGAATATAAAATTAACCATAACGCACACGTACGCGTACATAATAAACTGCGATAAAATCCATTTTATCATCACGTTCGCTGCGACGTCACGTGAAATTTTCTAGAATGACATTGCTGTAAATGTTTCATCCCCCCCCTCCCCCCCAAAATTTGTCCTTTGGATAGTATCGTCAGACAAAAAAATGTATGACATTCAGCAAAAGTCAGACGTCACCGCGTAATATATTTCAATCTAACGTCGCTCGCGGGACAAAAAATGACAGTAAAACAAAAAAACAAAAGAAACCGGACTAATGTCCCGTCCACCACTGTTCCCGTGGTAAAACCCTTTTTACCGTAGCGATAATCGTTATAATAATAATAATAATCCTCCAGATCCTCGTCGCCGTTGCGTCCTTTATGATCCCCTGTAATGATGTCCGTTTTCATAATCACCACTCTTACCATGATCTTCTCTCGCCTCGTGTTCACCATAAATATGACGTTCATCCTTTCCGTAATTTCCTTCATTCTTCTCACTCCCGTGACCATTTGCGGCCGTTCACGATCGCCATTTTCCTCGTCAAAATCAGAATCGTACTCCTCGTCGTAAAACTTCCTCATCGTTATTTGTCCAATCTCTTCGCTCTCTATTCGTGATCTCGTCGCGTATACATTTGCGTGATGAGCCATTTTTTCGTGAAACTTTTCACCTGTCTCACTCTGGTGATAGTCATCGTAGTGGCCATCATCGTAGCGATTATCGCGTGCCCTGCCATCGCCATCATCATTGTCGTGTATTCGTGACCTTTGTCTGAGTCGCGGTGACCTCTGCTAGCTTTGTCCGGCCCGTGATAACGTTGGTAGCCCGTATCGACGTGATCGCTAGCTTTGTCTCTTGGCGAACAGCGTGACGATCGTTACTACCGCCTTGCTCGTGTCGATGGCCATGAAGGGTGGCCGCTGGCTGCAGATCCTCGTAATTAATGTTCGTGGCGAAGCACGGCCGCGGCGCCAAAATAGCCAGAAGTATCAATAGGAACGGAGCTCCACGTACGGCAAACGTATCGGTTTTCTTTAATCTGCTACTGGCCAAGTTCCTATTTTCGAAGGGGGAGGGGGAGGAGGGGGCGCGAATGTGTATCCGAAGCTGGCTGATACGGTTCATTGGAAGAGTATATATTGATTCGCGGTCAAAGTTCACGTGTATTTTTCGTGCGCGAGCGTATATCTCGGGCAAAGATTCGATTTTACTTCTCTTTCTTTCGTTTCTTTTCGTTTTAGATTTGGTTATTGCATTGTATGTAGGTCGAAAAAAGCGAGTGGAGCTTGATAATTTATTACACTAACAACAGTATTTAGTAGAATTACCGAATATTCAATTATAAAATGAAATGATGTATAAATTTTGTGTTTATGGATAATAAAATTATTAATTTCCACAGCGTGTAATTATAATATAGAATTATAATTTTATAGAATCGCAAACAAGCTGCGTTAATTACATCGTTGAGTAAATGCGGATTAAATACTCTTATTACACCATTCGGGTACCGCGAGTCGTCAAGAGCACTTGACATTTTTGTCACAGTTTTATCCTCGCATCGTTTTCTTTTTATTTAGTTTAGTATACATTGTATACGCGAGTTCCCTGTGCGTTTTATTTTCTATTTGTTTCCGAACTCTCCGTCGAAAATCACTCAAGGCTGCTCGTGTTTATTGACTTGATGTAGAATTTTCGTGATACCTTGTAGCTGTGTAACTTACCGATAGTTTTTCCCATTCCGCATAAACGAAGAAACGCTAATTTATTTTCGGGAAACATACCTTCCCGAAAAAGTAATACAATTTACAATTTACAATCAATCGAAAATCATTATTAGGTACAAAATTTAATAAATGTGTATCGCTGATTAATGATACTAAATAAAATACAACTACTTCTCGTATTCACTTAATTAGTTTTCCAAATTCTCGAACTGGTATGTTACGGAAATAAAGATACACTGGCCGAAACGATCCAATATGACTTTAAGTGGAACAAGCGTCGAACCGTATTGCGTCAGACATACCGTACAAACAACGGGCATGTGAATAAGGAAACGTTTATTAACGAAATTAAATTAACTCCATTACAAGAATCTACATTTTCTTCTACAATATACAATTTCTTACAAGCAAATTTAGCTTTCAACTCTGCTTAGCTTCAAGAACTCCAACTTTGAATAATAATAATTAATTATGTACTACGAAAACTAAATTAAAATATAATACGAGGACATTCCCTACTTCCATTTCATATTTCTCCACTGAGAAGCGAATATATTGCACAGATAATGAAAAAGTTCCCCTTTTCTTTTAAATAAAATGTACTATTTGCCCGAGTGAATAAATAATATTATTTACCTAAGTTGTTTCATCGAACAAAGCCTACTATCCTCCATATTCAGAATACCTTCAATTATTATTCTATTTGTCTGACACACAGTTTTGCAACGCGTTCGCAGCGTAAATACAGTCGGTGGAAACAGAGCCAACGCGAGGAATTCGTTCGAAAATTGTTGCGCGGCAAGTGTTGGACGAAAGCAGCGATATTACGGCAATCTAGCTGAGCTGCTACCAGCCAATATGATGCGGATGCGCGAAAATCTAACTTTTATATGTCTTTCACCTGTGGTGAACACTTCTAGCTGTGCACCGCCCAGCCAACGTTTGGGAAAACGTGCAAACGTTACGTTACCGACGCTCTACGTTCGTGAAAAGAGAGAGAGAGAGAGAGAGAGAGAGAGAGAGAGAGAGAGAGAGCCACGGTCTGACGCCGTGTTGGAAAACACATTTTGCTACGTGTTACGAGAGTTAACGGGTTACTGTGTGAATTCGAATGTTTTGTAATCCAGTTTGCCTCCCTGTTCGTACGAGAAAAATGACGTAATTCCGAATTTGTAAAATATATGCGAATTTCTAATTTGCCGTTTAATACAGGTATAGTGTTTCTAGTTTCAACAAATTGGTGTATAGTCGAAGCAAGTGAAGTGTTTAATAGATGAATCGTCCGTATATGTAGTAGATTTTTCTGTGTGGTTTTCTTAAATATATTTTTGAAACTCTCTGTTTTTCAAGAACATGAATATTTATTTACGAAATCTACGACATAAAATAATTGTTTGCGAAAATAATTTTGACGAAAAAAAAGAAAGATATTGACGACGATTTTTAAGATAATCGTGTATTAAAACAATTTTTATACGTCGGTTAGTTAATATTCCGGTTAATATTAGTTAATAAGTAAACGTTTAAATTCCAATTTAGGATCCTTAAGAATTTACCAAGATTAAATAATAGAACAAGCTCGAAATTATTTTCTCCTTGATCAAACAGCCATTGTAAAACGCTACGCGCCATGAAAAAAAAAAAAAAAACAATGAAGGAACGAAAGCAAGAAGAAAATGCGTTTTCTCCTGATGTGTATTTCTTTGATCAGGGCAATATCGTAAGATTTGAAACTTAAATAAATAGGTCAATGGCTCACCGAGGGGATTAGTATACGTATTTCTGATTCGTGATATCGATATTCAATATCGTTGCCATTTGTAAAATGATCTAGATCAATCCTGTCTGCTATTAATTCTGGGACCTAAATTGCCTTACATTGTTTCCGTTACCTATGGCATAGTAGTTGCAATCGAAGTGTGATTGCATTACGAGGAATGTATAGTCATTGTAACTGTTCGTGTGGAAACCTATTGAGTCCCCTGTTCTGATCCTTACGTACTCTGGTATATATACAGGGAGAGAATGGAAAGGCGTAGGGTTTATTTTTCAACGAGATAAATTTAAAGATGAAATCGAGAGTTTGTGTCGAAACTTGATGATGACGAATATAACAACGAGTTTTTTTTTTATATTACTTCGACAGTGGGAAACAGACTAATACGTGTTCATTATTTATTTAAATTATTTACATTACGATATATTATAGATCGAGATTTTACATTACGATATATTATAGATTGAGATTTAATTAAATCTTATTGCACGAGAACCCTACCAGAATGTCGAAATGATCAATTCGTTATTTTTTGTAAAATGATATATTTACGGTAGTCCAATTTTGGAAAATGTATAAATGGAAAATTTTCTCAATCGTTCTATTTCGATTTCTCTAGTACAAATTTCACGTTTCGTTCATCATTAATTTTCATGTGAATTTACTTTTAAGTTATTTTCAGTTATTTCAGCAGAATTTATAGTATTTCAGTCAAAAAATATTTGTCTGGTCTATCTGACACGTCACTTACAATTTTCGCAGGATTAATTTAATTACTATTTTATTTCCTTTCCTTCCTCCTTAAAAAATTTTTGAGATATCTGATACGATCAATCATTTCTGCGAAACTAGAGAATTGCCAAGAATAGAAATAGACGTTTATAGAATTCACTCCTTAGATAATTATCAGTCACAGTAGTTGTCAGGATTTTTGACGGTGAAACTCATAGTCCAGTCAGAAGAGCAGGAAATACCCAAAAGAGATTTCACAAATATAGACAGTGTTTCGAAAAATATTATATTCAATCTTCCAATTAGCTCTAAAGATATAAAAATCATACGTGGAGTATTCTCTTCCTACGAATAAAAGGAGGACATTCAATCTTTAAAGGATTCTTTTATTACCGGAGAACAAAACGTGACAACTTTCACATTTCGTGCGTTTAAAATTAATCAACGACGGGGTAGATAGAAAAAAGAAAAAAAAAAAAAAACAAATGGGACAACAAATGTAAGTAAATTTCATCGCGTCTACTGCTTCCTTCAATGATGTCCTCCACCACCACCGTCTCCGCTCGAGTATCCGTGTTTCTTTCCCCCGTGGTGCTCCTCCTTCTTCCCATAATCCTCGTGATGCGAATAATGATCGTCGTGTCCGTGTTTCCCGTGGAACCCTTTATGATCCTCGTCGTGGTGTCCCTTGTCGAAGTGACCCTTCTTCCCGTGATGGTCCTCGTGATGCCCGGAATGATGGTGATCGCCCTTCTTGTGATGACCTTCCTTACTCTCGTGGTGTCCGTGATGGTGGCCATGCTTCTCGTGATGGCCACCCTTGTGGTAATCGTCGTAAAACTTGTGCTCCTTGTGATACTCGTCCTTGTGGGACTTGTGATGGTAACCGTGAGTCTTCTCGCCCTTCTTGTGCCCCTTTTTGTGCCCGTACTTCGACCCTTTGTGCCCTTCTTCGTGTTCGTGATGGTGTCCGTGCTCCTCGTGCTCGTCGTGATGACCCTTCTTGTGCCCGCCGTGTTCCTCGTGGTGACCTTCGTCGTGTTCCTTCCCGTAATGACCGTGATCACCTTTGTCGTGATGGTGATCGTGTTTGTACCCTTTCTCACCCTTCTCGCCGTGCTCGCCGTGATGATGCTCGTGATGCTCGTGACCACCACCTTCCTCGTGGTGGTGGCCGTGGTGGCCACTGGCTGACATCTCCAAATCCCTCTTGTTCCTCAGCTCTCTGGCCGTGGACAAAGAGATGATCGAATAGATCACGGCTAAGCCCAGCCAGAAACGCAAACTCTTTGCCATGCTGGCTGTTTTGTGGACCAACGAGTGCTATCGACTGATCCGGTCGCTTCAAGGCAAAGCTTATATACCTACGCCGTCACAGTCGCGTTTCATACGTAATCGCTTTCGTTCGTTCGGGCAGCTACCGCTGGTTTCGCGCTGTACATCAGCGCCGAGCGTTGTTCAAATAAACTTTTATCGGGAAATCAAATTTGTTTTCTCCTTTTTTTTTTTTATTTGTTCGTTCGTTCGTTATTCGATTTCAATATATTTGTTTTTTTTGTTCGTGCTCGACCGCTGGCCGCGTTCCATTCCGGTTCCTTATTCATTTAATATCGGGATTACTCGATCGTTTCTTCCTCTCGTTCCTATTAATCCCCTTTCTGCGACGAGTTTTGGAATATCCGTCGAATTGAAACTGGTGATTGAAGTATATATGTAGATATAATACGAGTCTCTCGATCGTCGTTTTTTTTTTTTTTTTTTTTTAGCGTTTTTTTGGAGAGATTAATTTATTTAGCATCGAAAATAAGTTTCTCTTGAAAAATGAATTAACAACAGTGAGTTTTGTTTAAGAAACTTCAATCCAAATTGAGTGGCTTTTAGAACAGAGTATATAAAATTTAAATAAATCTTTCACAGAAGGATATTAAATAATTAAATCAAGTTAACTTAAATTTCTGAGGGGAAAAAATATCACGTACCTGAATTTAAATAAATCCTTCAGAAAAAAAACAACGGTTAAACTAAATTTAAATAAAATTCCGAGAGAATGAAGAGAGACATTACTCCCTTCCTACCGTTTCACAAATTTCACTTTGTTTCCAACGATGAATAAACGATAATTAATTGTCTGTGAGTAATGAGTTATTAAAATTTGTTCCTCATCATTTGCCTCGAAATTGTTGGAAATTTTAGAAATAATACATCGCTATGTTCGGTATGATTTTGACAGGGTCTGCTTTTTTCCAGCGGGATAAAGACGCCGGGATAAACAACGGGATATCGATCGCGGGATAAGAATACGCTTTGTACAAACGCGTTTGGGAACAATTGGCGGTCTTTTCCGTCTGTAAGGCAATTACCCGCGAAATAAATTAACGTTATTTGCTGGAGAGACGTGGAAAGTATAGGGGCAAATCAAGCATCGCTAACGCGACACCCGACAAAAAGCCAATCAATTTGCAGACGGCTGAATAACGATAAAACGTTTATTACAAAACAGCCGAGTAATAGGAAAATATTGTTTTCACCGTTCACTGTTCTTTCTGCAACGATAGTTTCTCGCTTTCGTTCCCGATTCTAGTGTTGGGCAAAAATTGTTTCGAGCTGGCAAGCAAAAGGAAAAAAAAGAACACACGAACGAGTCGCTCGAGTTTATATCGTTGAAATCAATTTAAATCAAAATTTTCACTAAAGAGAAAATTTTGTCTATACGCGACGTCTTGGACGAATTAGCGAATTTAACGTTTCTCGCACGTACATGCGTGAAATTCGAAAATCTGATCAGACATTCGAATAACTATCCTTTTGTTTTTGTCACTTTTCCGAATTGAAAGTGAAAATGAGAAATGGAAACGTGTCAGTTCTGACACGCAACAGATATGATCCATCCCGGGGCAAAGAGATCAACCGTGTCAAGAAATTCTGCAAAAGAGGACTGTACAATTCACTCTGCGGTTGGTGAAAAACGAAAGTGTGTTATGTCAATCAATACGGTGCTATCTATTTTCTTTCACATCGCTGTCAGATCCAGCAACGAAAGTTGAACTTACTTAAAATTTCGTGCTGTATTCATATTTGTACACGATCTTTGTAATGGAGAAAATTTTATCTGCTCCTAACAAAATTATTAATATTTAAATATCATCACATTTAAAATATATAATAATAAATAATAAATAAAAATATAAAAATTAAAATATATATAAAATTTAAAATATGTAAAATTATAAAAATTATTTATTACGACGTACACGTAATTTAAAAAACTTGTTTTGTTAAATAATAATTTGTCAAAATTATTATTTATTATTGCTCCAGTCATACTACTTTTGCATCACATTTTAATACTCTACCCAATATTCCAAAAACCTAATATTCCAATATTCTAATGCTTATCTAATGTCCAATAATCCAACTCCAACTCCAAATTTGCGGAAAATTCGTAACTACCTAATTCCAATCTTCGATGGAACACACGTCGATATGTAATGTACACAATACGTTTTTCGAAAAACCATAAAACGAAGAAAAACACGTTCTTTACGGGCCTTGCCTAGACAGTTTCAGCAAGCGATTTCGTTGCGCAACGGTTTCGTTTCGGCGGTGCGCGGTTCGATGGAAATCGACGAATCGGCAGCTAAGCGGGTTAAGGAGACGTTACTTTCGCAACGCGGTTAGACAGAGCCAACGACACAGAGCAGCCGGCTGCTTCCTCAACATCGATTATTCCCCCCGTTCGATATATAATCGGGGCGTGGATCGCCGGTTTAATCATACCGACCGCAGCGTTCGAGTCGAACGTTTCGATTTTTACCCGATCGAATTCCGATCGTGTCCCTCCCTCCCTCCAGTCATGGCTTTGTCTCGTCTCGGCGTCTGTCTGCTCTGCGCGTACGTCGTGTGTCAGTTCGGCTCGATCGTTGCGCGAGAGATTTATCAAGCAGACGATGATCTAGCTGTGGCAGCCACTCACCATGGCCATCATCACGAGGAAGGCGGCGGTGGAGAGCATCACTCCGACCACCATAGCAAACACGGTGAGAAAGGCGACAAAGGTTACAAATCGTCCCATCATCACGAGAAAGGCGAGAAGGGACACCACGACAAGGATCAGCACAGTGGCCACTACGACGAGCACGAGGGCCACAAGAAGAGCCATCATCACGACGACGGTTATTACTCCGAGCACCACAAGGGCGAGAAGGGCGAGAAAGGGCACAAGTTTCACGAGGAGGGTCACTATGGAAAGGGGCACAAGACAAAGGGGCACCACGAGGTGCACAAGTTAGACGAGTACAAGAAGGACAAGGAGTTCTTCGACGAGCATCACGATTCCGGGCACCACGAGGACCATGGCGGACACCATCACGAACACGGTCACAAGAAGGGCGGGCATTTCAAGAAGGGACACCACGACCACGGTGATCACGAGGATCATTACGGGAAGAAGGGACATCATGAGAAGGGACATCATCATCACGATCACAAGGGACACAAGAGCGAAGGTGGACACGATGAACATCACAGTCATCACTCTCACCATGGAAAGAAGGGGGGACACGACGACCACAAGTCGTGGGGATTCAAAAAAGGACATTGAATACTTGGACGATTCATATTGATTTGTTGAACGTTTTGTTGAGATTGAGCTTTGTATCTGATGAAAATAAATGTAATTTTTCAAAGAGTCACGCGTTGAGTGGAATTACCTATTTATTGACCAAGATGATATCTGATTCGTTTGTAGAAGTTTATGCAAGAGGTAGAATCAGTTAACCACATGCTTTACAATTTTCTTTCCAATATTCGTATTATTGTAATTGTAACATTATGTCAGATATAGAACATTGTAACTTACACTTGTCAATGTCCGATTTAAAGAAATTAAATTTAACTGCAATTTTCTTTGTAATAATCTCAACTTACACTACGAATATGGCTCGATGTTACAAGACGAGGGATTAATATTATGGAATAAATATTAAAATACTTGGATCTTCTACAATTATCCTCTAAAAATCCTTTATAATTATTTGCAATAATTACTTCACTGAATTACCACTAATTATTGCAAATATTTTCCAAATTATGATTAAGTTTGTTTCGTCACAAATTCTATTAAAACACGACAAGCTTTTTTTAGTAAAACCTTCAAATAATTGGGAGAGCGTTACGATCTAAAACCCGGGACAATATCCTCGTAGCATTTGACAAATCTGCAATGGGATTTGCAATACTTTCCTTTTTTGCGTTGGAAATGTTACGGTAGATCAGCAACCCTCCAAAAGAAAAAGATTAGGTCGATAACACTTTCTAGGCTTGTATTTTCTAGTTACGTCATTCGATTAAGTAACAGCGTTTTCACTGAAACAATTTCAATTTCGCATTTCCAAATGCCTCTGACGTGCTTCGAGTATTAAATATCAATTATCTTTAATTTAAATATCTTATTAATTTTAAATATTAATTTAAATCTTAATTAAATTAACATTGCTCCTGCTGAAAGGTACGATAAACAGTCAACTTCCTTTATTTCGATTTTCACACATTTACCGAAAAATTTGTCGAAAATCCTCGTAATTCTATATAAATATTCAAAGTGTGCAATTTTAAAATAAAATTTAATGACTGCTTCTATTTCTATTTTTTCAATCGTACATATAAAAATATGAATTCGTATAAATCAGTTTTGAAAAAGTTCGTGTAAACTGAAGCGGGAATCATTGTATGAACGGATTCGATCGAATTTATCAAACAACAACGCCAACAAAAACTGGCAAATTTACAACTCATTAATTGTAGATTTAATTGTAGAACTTTGTCCCATTGGGATTTATTCGTTCGACAATTATATTTATATTATGCAACGCAGTATAGATAAAACACTGACGTAGCTTAGAAAATCATGGCTTGCAAAGTACAATAAACAATAAAACGTTTCAATAATCTCCTTTGCGAAATTTGTGCGCTCTGTTCGACTTCGAATCTTCTTCGACGCTGTGATCCACGTGGCTCGAATAATACGATTCCTCGCCTTTTTCAGCCCGATGACCTTGATCCTGGTTGTCACGACGTCCCTTATCGTATCTCCCTTTCTTTCCTCGATCTTGATAATCGTGACCGGAGGAATGGCTACCGCCTTTCTTGAAATCAGCCTCGTCGCTCTTGTCACCTTTGTCGAATTCCTCGTACTCCTCGAAATGACCTTTCTTATGGTCATCGCCGTAGAAGTCCGTCTCCTTCTTGTACTCGTCCTTGTGAAAGACATTGTGGTAACCATTAGTTCTATGCCCCTTCTTGTGGTACGACGAGTGTCCGTAACTACCGACATCTTTGAATTTCTCCGCCTCATCGTAGGAACCGTGCTTTTCAACTTGGGCAGCGTGTCCTTTCGCGTGTTCGCCGTTGTTCTCGTAGTATCCTGGACATATTTGATCATAATTCAGGGAACGCGGACACGTTTCATTCTAATACAATTGGTAATTCCAATTTTAGTTTCTTCATTTATAAACATTCGCTGTTGTTAACATTCGTTCTTCCCTTTGAAGCCATCGCTGAACAAGCAATCAAATGTTACGCGAAAATGAACATGCTACGTTATATTACGTGAAATGTATAAAAATTATGTCAACGTAATATTGTCCCAGAATTTAAATTTAAAAGAGGCAAGTTATTGTAGTTTTAGTGAAAAATTGTTGCTCGAAAATGTGAGTAATATTATTGAATAATTATCAACGTGCCGATAATGCAGCGTTAAATAATAAAACAACTCAAATAGTTACGTTAACAATGGCCGATAGCAGTGAAAGCGTTAAGGATAAAAATATGGTTAAATAATATAAAGGTTGCACGAAGCTACGATCTTTGAGAGTGGTTAGTACCATTAGCATTAAAATAGTAAGAGTGGAGTTACATATATGTAGAGCGAAACACATGTAAATCGGGAAATATCTACTTGAGAATTCAGGTAATTTCAAAAACTTTTACGTCTATTTTAGTTCTTACAATATAAAATTTAAAAATAGACGAACTCTATGAATACATAACGAACTTTTAGTCCAGATCCAAATTGTAAATTAAATGAATCCAAATTTGGTTTAAAAATTTTTCCTATTTATACGTTGACCTTTCTAAACCGAAAAAGAATTTTCCCGACCCAATACTTCTGAAACGTTCTTTGACAGCCATAAATGTTAAGTCCAATAATATAGAATTAACTGAAGAATATCAGAACCAAATAATATCATTAATCGGTAACGTTGAATAATCTTTAACAGTCACAACTTCCAATCCAAAATCCTTTATCCTTTCTCCTAGACAATTTGAAGTTACAATTTGGTCACAAGTTAAAGACCATACAAATGAAACGTGAGAATCCTTAACGAAATACCAGAATCAAACAGCAGAGTGGCTCAACGTCGCCGATAACATTAAGCAATCCTCAACATCTGCAATTTAACTTACAATCCAAATTTACCCCAATGTAATTTACCCTTTACAACAAACCTTCCTCGTGTTCGCTGTCGTCGCTACCAGCCTCCGTTTCACTCGACTCTCCCTCCTTCTCATATTTCTTCTCTCCCTTCGTCCCATCCTCCGAATACTCTTCATTCGCGTTCTTCTCTCCTCCCCCTTCCTCCGCCAAACCACCGTTACCCCTTGGAGTGAATTCACCAACTCCCTCGCGACCATGCTCAAACGTCTCCACCGAACCAGCGTGAGACTCGCCGTGAATGTCTTCATCCCCGACACCGTCTGCGTGATCGCTCTCTTCATCCTCTTCGTCCTCCTTACTCTCCTCGTTATCGCGGTCCTCTTCAACGCTCTCTTGCCGCGTAGTTTCTTCCTTCTCGCTGCCCTCGTCAACGTGATGCGAGACGGGAAGCGCAACCGGCTGTTCCAACGATTGCTCGTTACGGTAATTGGCAGTTCCTTGGTGGCTGGGGCGCGGAACATCCAGCGCGGTTACGTAGGGGTGTAGGAACGTTGTTGCAGGAACAGCGGGCGCAACAGGTGTAGCGACGTACTGCACGGCCGGTGCATGATAGTAACGTCCACTTCCGTGATTGGTGTACCGCACGTAGTAAACCGGAAGACCCTGTTGCTGATTGTACGCGTACCCGATGCTCGAACCACCGTTCAGATCTCGCGCAATCATCTTCGTCAACGTCGTGCGTCCCGCTGTCGTCGCTGAAACAGCGTCGCTCTGACGAGCCACAAGAAACACGCACAACAACGTTTTGCATAGCACGTGGAGACAGTACGCGCACGTAGATGCTGGTTTAGGCTGGTTTTGGTGAATAGCTCGGAGAGTTGGTTTCATGCTTCGAGCGACCATTGAAGTTGCCAAATTTAGAGAATATCAATACGAACGTTTAATAAGTCGATTGAGTGCCAAGTCTAACGAATTAAAAATTACGGAACGGAGAAAATTGGCTCTTCTAGTGGCCGCTAAATTTCGCCAAATTTCTCGAAAGGTCCGATCTCAATGTTCAAGCTCGAATAACGTTGAAGAACGTTTTAATTCGACGAACTTAACTCTTCGATTGGCTACTGAAAGTTTCGAAAAGTTCGAGAATATTATTAATGGAACGATAAATTAAGAACTTTCCATGTTGTATTCTCCTTGTTGAAACTAAAGTGGCCACCGCGAGCATCAAAACCTCGTTCGCAAACTTCGGTGTCGAAGTCAAGCGCTGTCGCTTTCCAACGTTGCTAGACGCACCAAACGGCTCAGAGGGCAAAGAAATCAAACGCTCGCGTAACTAATCTCGTGGTCTGCGTTATCGTCGGTGAACCGGAATGCACACTGGCGTGTCCATGAATCGGCGGCTTCGCCTTATATATACACGTGGCTCGTCGTCGGGTGAATAAGGGATCGTAGAGTGGAACCGGAGAGTATTCCACGGCCGAGCTCGATAATTCAAGTACACCCGTGTTATTGACGGCTGCTCGGCCTGTTTGTCGGGCATTCTAGAGAAGCATAGGTGCATTCGCGTAATGCAACGCCATGGGACTGGCATCGGCACGCCGTGCGATCGCTCGTGCACCCTCCAGTCATCGTCACTCACGATCCTATTCTGTTTTGACGTTAAACAGCGGTCCCCCGGTTCTTTACGTTACAGCTATTGCATAATACATTGGACAGAACAGTATTTTCACGAAGAGTAGAAGTTCCTTTTTATTCGTATATTTTCTAATATTATATTTTTAATATTTTATCAATGTTTCTTATTAAGATTGGAACAAACGATCTTTCCTCAGAGAAATGAAAGTGCAAGTGTTCAAAAAATTTGCTTCTGTCTGGAAATTTGTAAAAATTTCTATGAAAAATGACGAATTCCTCCGGTAATTATTATTTGGATGCCATAGACATCTCTTAAACGAGAAGTGCAAGTGATTCGTGCAAACATCTTCTTTTCAACGTATAAAAATATACAATGTGAAACGAAAATTATTTATAACTTTATAAAAAAAAAAAAAAAATAAAATAAATTTTAAAAAATTTGAAATTGTTAATTTGACAAATTAAAGGAGTATCACCTATCTCAAAAATTATACTTAGGTCGGATTGAACTGAACTTATTAAATAAATAGAAGTTGCACGTTTGAATTTAACAGATTATCGTTGTCTTTGCAAAACGAAATCGCATTCAAATGCAATCGCGAAAATTGAGCGACGAACGCGAAATTCTGAAATTTTGTGTAATTTGAGATTTTTAATAACGACAAGTCCGGTTCGTGTGAAGTTCTATTTCACGCGAACTCGTTCGACGAGCGTGAAAAGGAAGCCAGCGGCGATCGGCGCGGCAATTATTTGCTGCCCGATGTTTCTGCTTGATTGGTTCCGCAGAAATCGAACTGAGGAATTTTAAAAACCGATTTTTAAAAACCCGATAGAACCGAGCACGGCCAATGTGCAAAACACGATGAGTCTAATTGAAGCACACGCCTCGTAAAAGTGCGATGAAAAGAAAGATCGGGTGTTATGTAATGGAATTTTCATGGTGTTACAAATTCACTAGCGTAGTATTAAACAATTAATATGAAAGTTTGTCCCTTATGTTTTATAACTAGGATTCTTCCCTAATGTTTTGTAACTATGATCCTTTTATTTCTAAATTATTATCTGTATATACTATTATACTGTTATACATAAACTATTATATATTATTATATATTATATATTATTTTATATTTATTATATATTATTTTATATTATTATATATTATTATTCACACTATTATATATGCCATTATAATTCCACTTATTTTTAATTAGAGAATAAAAATCCGTAGTTGAAATTATCAATTGCGAGAAAATTTGAAGATGATTCTTTTGTAAGAAGGATCGAGAAACAAGAATATAATATATAGACAATTTACTTATAGACATTTCAGTAACATCAATATAAATTTATTGACACGTTAGTATTAACTCTTAACACGAGCTACTGTGCAAAGAATGAAATTTATATAAAAAGAAAGTTTATACGTGTATACAGTAAAGAACATAGGCTTCAAGAGAGAACTTGAATATCTAAAAATAGACTGCTGTACAAAATCAAACTTTTATAGATTACACAAATATATAAATTTTATATAGAATAAACTTTCTATTCAAATACAAATTTCAATGTACATTTATTCATCAAACGTATAAATACTTACGTATATTATATCTCGTGAGAAGTAAAGGATTGATGAGGATTTTGACAAATAAATACCAAACTAGATCCACTAATCTAGAAACATCCATAGGATTCGAACATTCGAGCAAACAAAACTATAAATTCCGTATAAATTTCGTATAAATTCCCTGCGAATAGATAATAGTTTCTCACAAAAGAAACCGCAATTATTACGCAAAGAACGCAAAGAAAAGTCGTTTGCCAAAAGCCTGCCTGCCGTTTCTCCAATCTCGCTAACACTTATTATCCACTCGAGGCCAGCTCAGTTTCACTCGAGTCGCATAGGAGCGTTGAACGATTGACCACGGGACCTTGAAAGCACGACTGGCGAAAGAACCCTGAGGTCACGCGAAAATTTCATAAGAATCGTCGAAACCTCCGGCGAGGGCCTGTTCTCTCGGATGCATTCCACCTGTAGCCATCCTGAACGAGAGGCGAACGTGTCGATCGCTCGACCGGGCCGCATGACGTATAAAAGAGCTCGGCCGATCGAACAGCGATTACAGTAGAGTCGAAAGTGTTTCCACGAACTGGCGCGCCTTGAACTGATATTTCGAAGGGACTCGAAAGGAATTCGATATTAAATTCGACTCTCAAATTTCGAAATATCATTTATTCGAGCGTCTACGCAATTTAATTTCGAGTCTGAAAATTTCGAGAAAAATAACGAGGATAATATCGTTTAGTCAATACAAGTTTCGAGTTAAAGAAAGAAGAAGACGTGTATTGAAATTGAAAGTTCTAATTTGAGGGAATTAAATACATTCTCCTCGAACAATAAATATGACGAATAATCAGAGCAACATCAGAGTCACGCACACGACGTAAATCTGAATTGCAAATTTGAAAAGATAAACAAAAATACAACATTTTAAAACAAATTTTACAACGCGTTATATGCTGTACAATCTTGACTTGAAAATTTAGGAGCTGAACAACTTCTAAAGTCAAAATATTCGCGACTTTGTTAAAAAAAAAAGAAAAAAAAATGAAAGTAGTTTACGTAGCACTGTGCGTGTACGCATATTCGAGCGTAGCGATCACAATCACGCATGTTGATAATCCGTATATGTGGAAGATCTCTGAGGATATTGAAACGAGTCAACGTTCCAAAGAAACCGACGACGAACCAGTTGGAATAAGTTTCCAAAAGAAATTAATCCCCATAAGAGAACCACGAATTGGCAAAAATTTCCAAACACTTCGAATGCCTCTGGAACCGGACGCAGAAATCTTACCGGCCCACTACACGGGCATCAAGCCTCCCGGAGTCGATCACATGGAACTGAGACACGCAGACACCCGAATCGTTCCCAAAATCGAGTCTCTGAAAACCTTTGAACAAGCTGAAACTCAACGACCGTCAGAGCACCAAGAATCTGACAGTTTGACTGGCGAGAAATCCCAGAAAGATGACACTCTGAGGAAGACAACGAAGACGCAACGTGAGGAAACTGGTGGAGAGAAGAAACCTCACGAAGGGAGGAAGAACGAGTCAAACAAACAGACAGAACAGATTGGAAGTAAAGAAGGAAATAATAACAAGGAGAAAGATCGCGGCCAGGTGGACCGTAAGGTGGCTGGTTATCGCAACATTTATCACAAAGACGAGTACAAGAAGGACCACGATTTTTATGACAACGACGATCACGGCGGTCACTCGAAGAAACATGGAAATTACAGGGAGAAGTATGTCGCCAGCGAAGGGGCGTTCAATAAGGGTAGCGCTCGCGATTCCGGTTTCGACGAGGCAGAACTCCGCGAGCAGGGAATATCGGGCGAATCCCGAGCTGGTGAGGAAACCAAGGCTCACGAGACCCGGAATGGCCGCGATGGATTCTTTAAAAACTTCCACGGGTTTCGCGAAGCGGGTAGCCAGAAACGACGGTAAAAGGTTTGGCTTCGGCCAACGTAGACGAAAGCGCGCTAACTTTTATATACTTTCCGCGTGTGCGTTTCACGGACGTATGAAACTATCATGTTTGTGCAAAGAGAATGTGTACGTGCGCAGGGAGAACGTATCTGTTCAAATAAATTTCAGATTTCCTTTCAGTTAATCGAGGGCAAGGAGACTTTGCTCGTACGTTGAAGCTTTTACGAAAAGCAACGTCGCGACAGAATTTTCGCAGTTCAGAAGATTATCCTTTCATTTTGCTATTATAAATTATATTATAATTTATAAATTATAAATTATAAATTATATCATAAATTATATTATAATTTATAAATTATAAATTATATTACAAATTACTCTTATAATTATAAATTACTAGAGATAGTAAGAGAGATACAGGAATCAATAAAGAATTTCAAGAAAAATTTTTTTCAGAATACAATTCACTGCGTCCCTCAATTGTTGTTTCTAGCGCGTACAGAAATTTTTAATTTGTTGCACGTGACGAACGTACTGATATTTATAATGCGATAAGCTACTGATTGAGAGAGATTTTATCACGCGCGATGCTGATTAATTGTTTAGAATTGTTATTGAAACGTATCTGGATAATTATAGCGGTGTTTGTAAGTAAATCTTGCCGCGAGCTTTCTCAAATTTCTGCCAATTCGCGCGGGTTTTGTATCGTATTTACCCGTAACACGAATATTTCATGAATATTTTATTATCGTATTTTCCGTGAATCTCGATTTCATACGTCATTTTCAATTTTTGATTTCGACGTTCCGCGATTTATTAATAACGCTTTTAGCGGGATTAACAAAATCCATCTTCTTGGAGAGGTAATTTTTCACTCGTTGAACGTTGGATTATTATCATTGTTCAAATCTTGTATATCCTCGATTATTGTGGACCAATCGTCCATTAATCAACACGAATTTCCCTTTCAGTCGCCTCTTACGACACGCAGGGATATTATGTTGAGCCTATTCTAACCCCGGAGAACGTAAAATGCAAATACATGCACGAATAAACATTTCCTGATTAGATTGTAAGAGTGTCTGACCCGACACGGCTCGTGGCTCATTCTACTTATAGTCGCGTGACCTGAATCACACAGCCTTTGACTAACATATCTTTATTGTACTTCCATATTCTATTAATTAATAACGAACTCGGTATAAAATTGAACAATTCGATGAGAAAATACACTTAGAGTAGTTTATGAAAATACTCGAAAAGCTGCAGAAACTATTTTTGAAGTATATCTAGAAATTTATATATCTAACATTGTAAAATATTTAGCGGAAGGAGTTCTTAAAAATATTTAGGAAGTCAATTATTCAACAATCTTTCGTCAACAGTAGTATAATCGATGTAATTGTTACACGTTTACAATATCTACAATATTAATAAAATTTTATAATGCTTCATATGATACACATAATATACGCACAGAAATTTTCCACGACAAATGTTCAAACACACTAAATATATCACAAAGAAAGTGACACAATTCAAAGAACGCAATATTTTGGAGTTATTGCTATAAGAATACTGCAGAAACAATCATAAAAATTTTATTTACCGATTCTCGTAATTTGGCGAATAGAAAGGAACCATGTTGCTCTTCCTGATTCGCGTGAAACTTTATTCGCTGTATTCTACAAACACCTCTTATACTGAATATAATAAATGATAAAATTTTTCGATGAAATGCATATTAATAAGGTAAAAAGTGTATTGCTTTGAATTGCGTTATTTCTTCAATCAAGTCAATACCTAATTCAAATTAATGGTCAAAACCAGTTTCCTACATCCGATAGAAAAAAAGAACCATGTTGTTGTTCCCGATTCGTGTGAAACTTTGCTGTATCCTATAAATACCTCTTATGCGAATATAATAAAATTTTGCAATCAAATTCAGATTAATAATGTAAGAAGCGTATTATTTTGAATTGCGTTGTTTCTTCAATCAAGACAATACCTAATTCAAATTAATAGTCAAAACCAGTTTCCTACATCCGATAGAAAAAAAGAGCCATGTTGTTGTTCACGATTCGTGTGAAACTTTGCTGTATCCTATAAATATCTCTTATGCGAATATAATAAATTATAAAATTTTGCAATCAAATTCACATTAATAACGTAAGAAGCGTATTACTTTGAATTGCATTATTTGGTATTTCAATTAACAATTTGGAATTGCGTATTACTTTTAATTATATAGGTATTTCAATTAACAAGACAATACCTAATTCAATAGTCACTTTCTTCGTCACGTACATAGGTATATAACTTTTGCCAAGACACCTCTCAATTTATTCTCTCACTTTAATGTGAAATCAACAGAGAAATCAATTCTCCTCCTCCGTTCCGTGTTTTTCTCCAACTTGATTAGAGCAGCAACGTATATATATATGTATATATGTACATACATCGCGAGTATTTCTCATTTCGAGTGTCATCGATTCAACGAACGAACCCTGCGCGGTATCCAAAATATACTCCCGCGTTTATCGCTGGTTCATCAGGAACGTATTGTTCGGCTCCTTGCCCCCTCCCCCTCCCGCCGTTGGTTTTATTTCGCACGAAGGTGGCTCGATGTTTCGCGCGTGCACGGGATCGTCTCGTTTCGCACGTCAGCGGAGTCCTTGATTAATGGATATTAATAATGCTCGGCATTGTTGCGCCGATAAATTGCAATCTTTTGGCGTATCCGATGAAATGAGAATAAAAGACGGTAATTGATGCAAGCGCGTTCGCCTCTGTACATGCATAGCATACACGTATATATACACGCGTAAATACAAAGAGAGAGAGAGAGAGAGAATTTTCTCATTCAAGCACATAATGCTTTGTAGCCTTCGTGTAGCTGCATGTTCTTTCTAAAATGGACAGACAGCTTCGTCTTTCCTTTTTCTGTTTTCTTTTTTTTCCTTTTTTTTTTTCATTTTCGAGAACGTCTCGTTTTTGACGTTTTGCGTTTCATGGACAGTTGCTGAGAATGTAGTAGTTGCTGTTACAAGTTACAATGTGTGCATAGGTATTATATTACGCACGATAATTATAATGGTGATTATAACGGTATTAATGGTATGGTAATGATAAGACAAGATAATGAGGAGACAAGATCTCTAATTTTGAATTGTTATTATAATATATTATATTAATTTTCTCAATGTTTAGTAAGGCAGGTTTCAGTGATATATATGATAAAATTTATTACATTCTTTTTTATTATACTTGTACGTGAGCAAATTATTTAAAGGTAGCTGTAAATCGAGGAATACATTACATTGTTTTATATTTCTACGACACTATTGTAATTAATTAAGCACCGTTCGATTTAAGCATAATTGTTGAATTATATCAGTCTCTGGTGTTTAAACTGTTTTATCTAGTATTTCTACAATTTTGAGATTGATGAATGATGAACCTTCGATCCACTCGAATTTCAGACGGGTACCTAGTGAATTTTATTAAAAAGCATATATTTATATCCTCTAAAGAGAGAGAAAGAGAGAGAGATAATTACAGAAAATTTCAGTCAAATTATATATAAAAAATAATTTCGTTGTCATCGGACTGCAAATTCGATATAATGAAAGAAACGAAATGGCAGAACAGATTTATCGCAGAGACATCGAACGTTAATAACGAACGAGCTACGCTTTGTACCTTTGTTCCATACATTTTCGAATTCTCGCGTTTTATCGTATATTTCCTTGCATCCCCGTACTATAAAATTCGCCGCAAGCGGCCGCGATCTAATTATCGCGAACACAAACCCTTTGTCTGAAGGGAGAAGTTCACAAAGGAGAGAAAAGATTCCATTTAAATCCAAACATTTACAACCGAAGCGGAATATTCGCAAAGCAACCTTTAATAAAATCAGAAACATGTAAGTTACGTAAAACAAGCCAGTATCCGGTGACCCATTTAACCATTTCTGCACTTCTATTTTCCCAACCTTTACGTCCCTCTATCTTGCACACACGTTCACGTTCACGTTCACGCGCGAACGTACGATTCGCACGGTATTTACCTATGTATCGTACATGCCACACGTGTCTCGGCTGTGTGATACCTAGACGTACATTCTGTCTCAAAAATCTCAATACCTAAGACACACTTTACGCGACAAGGAGTTTACAGAATGTTTCCGAAATAATTGCGGTTCAAGAAGGTGAACCTACGTGAAAAAGTGTGTCGAACAATTTCTATTTATTTTATTTTATTTTTATTTAAGGCTTGGCTTGCGAAAAAGTTAAATTCACGCGTGATCGTCTAAATTCCATTTTATAAAAAAAAAAAAACGCTTAAACTCCGTTTTCTTGAGAAACGAGAGACGAACTTCTGAACAAATTTCATTCACATTCTCGACTTAATTCCTTTAATTTTTTTTTTTTTTTTTTGTATCACTATACTGGGATCGCGATTCTTGTTAATACGTATTAACAATTGTACAAAATACAAACACGCGTGATTTGAAAATTTTGATTTTACATCGCGTATGTCAAGAATAAAATTTCGAACGAGAGTGTATACACGTGCACGTTCGTAGATAAGACGATAAATCCTGTCTCTGTGCACACACGACTGCGAATTCTTTTAGTTATGTGTACGCGTGTGTGCGCACGTACACGTACAAGCAAACACACGTGAAGAAAGGTGGCGTGCACAGAGGTGAATTCTGCATGAATATGTATGCACGCGTGAACGTGTACGTGCAGGTACATATGTAGATACCCGTATATCGGAGGCGATGAAACGTGGTGCGAGCAATACATAAATCAGTTGGTCCGCCGGCTGCCATATCATTTTGTACAACAGCCATGAATGAATAGAGCCGTGTTTGAGTTATCGTTTTACCTGCTCTTTCAAAATCCGACGCAGCCCGCGGGATCCTCTCGTACATTTATCTATTTCGCGCATTACGCGTATCGCGGGGCTCGTACTACAACTCGTACAGTTGTAGAGCTAGACAAAGATTTTTTAATGAAAAAAATCAGAAACGAAAGTTACACGTTGGCGAGTTAACGATTACTTGGTAAAATTTATCAACCTTTATTTCTAAAACTATTCTCGTTTATCTCGCTGATAGCGAGGTGATCATCTGTCAACATTTCGACGAAATGTGATATTTTTTTTACTTATAAATATGTTGCATTTTATTTTAAAATTTTGTATTTCGACAAAGCATTCACCATGGCTTGAATAAAAAATTTGTACGAATCAAATAGTAAATTATATATATGAAAATATGCTTAGATTGGTTGTACAGTGAGAGCTAAAATTAAGAAAATTAATGTAGTGTACAAATATTCATAATATTTATAATATTCATAATATCTGTTGATGGTAATTTTTCTATATACTAAATTTTCTATATACTAAATTTTAAGAAATCTAGTTTAAATTCTGCGGTATATTCTGTTTCTGAATTGTCACGTACCAAAATTACATTCTATTGAAAATAAGTGAGTATAATACTTTTAAGTATCGAACGTTTTAGAAATCGTTAGATGATAGATTCTGTGAAATTTGCGATCTTTTCAGTACGAAAATTCTGAAGTAAGTGCCGAGTGATTAGACACAATTCTCTTCAGAGTCCTGAAGAAACTCCACGGCTAGATTCTCGGTTTTACTGTAACATTTTTCTAAACATTTGCTGCGATTTCTCATATTTATTAAGGACTCGGTTGGCTAAATCACGGAAAGCTAAATAGCTAAATAGCCTATCTAAAATCGCCTCGTAACAAACAAACGTACATAAAAAGTGAGGTTGTTTTCAACATTCACGAGAAACGTGACATAATCGATAATTACGCCAATAACAATTCGCCAACTCCAATGTCTCGACATCGTGTCGGATCGACGAAACGAAAGAATTAATCCGATTGTAATTATTAATATAATACACGTCGAGGCAGCGTTAAATCATATTAATATCATGTTAAAAAAAAAAAATAATTCACATCACAGACAATGACATGACGACGACGATGATCGTGATAATGACATCGAGTGCCATCGAGTGCTACCTGGATAATGCGTGTTCGCTGTTTATTTCGACGACGATCAAACGATTCCACGGTTATCCAATTTGCGGCAAATATTTTATCGCGTTATTAATCCGTCTCTTTGGCGCGGATTCTGTCTCGTAAACACGTTGATTAAAATATACATATACATGTACACATATATATATATATATATATATAGGTTTTGTTCGATTTGAAACGATCAAGGTAAAAGCAAATCCTCCTTGTGCTTGGTTACACGTGTAAGACAGATATAATTCGAGAGATGTAACACGGGCCATTGAAGGAGGATGTTATTTTATATCGGGAAGAAACGCTGAACGAAATGAAATGGCCACGTCGCTTTTGAAAATGTATAGAAGTCCCATCCTCGGATGCCTGAGTCGTACAGCCTCGAGATACAGTGGGATTGGATACAGAAAGGCAACTTTTCATTTTACGGCGGGAAATCTGCGAGTGAAATGCAGCGTAGGTGTACCTTTCCTTTTTGTTTTTTTAACCGCGAGAAGCCACGGTTCAATCTGGTGATGGTTACGGTTATAACCTGCGTAGAAATACAATTACATCATTTGTAACTTACTTTTAATTCAATGGTTGAAAAGCGTTGCAAAACACGTATTTCTCGTTCAATTTTCGCACGAAAATGATAATTTGAAAACTAAATTATTGACACGAAGATGTTGAAACTAAATTTTTACACTAAATAATAAAATTAATAAAATTAAATGATATATAAATAATAAAATTAAATTTTCAACGAAATTACTAATTCTGGTACAAAATTACAAGTTTGCTGACAGGTTAAATATACACTTTCGTAATTTAACTGGGACAGATTCGTTTTCTCGAACTTTTTGTACTATATTTAATTATCAAATATGTATTAGAGAAGGTGAAGAATGTCTTTTTTGAAATCCTGTAACTTTGTTTTCATAATTACTGAGAAATATTTATTTTTAAATTCATCACGGTAAATGCAAAAGAAAAATGAGTATTCTTAGATGAAAATTATTGTCACAATAGAAATGTCTCAATTATACAGATTGAAGAAAATTTTTCGTCTTCTCTCAGTAACCTTCTATCACACAAAACATGGAAACAAAGTTATTGAATTAATAAAATATAATCAAGCTTCTACTGTAATAATCTAATAGTAGATTATGATCTATTTTTTCACAGTAAAATAAATAAATAAAAAAAATTAAACATATACTCTTAATAAACAGAGATAAAATCTGATTTATACAACACAAACATTTTCCCAAAAATTCAAACACTTGCAAACGATCCAAATAATCACAATCCTCTATGTATTTTTGCCAAAGACAAACAATTAAGCAATAACATTTCCCCAGGATGATTCACCTTTCAGAACTCGTTTGGCTGTGCCACCCGTGGCACATATTGAATTAACAAAATATTGTCAAGCTTTTACTGTAATAATTTAATAGTAGATTATGATCTATTTTTTCACAGTAAAATAAATAAATAAAAAAAACTAAACATATACTCTTAATAAACAGAGATAAAATCTGATTTATACAACACAAACATTTTCCCAAAAATTCAAACACTTGCAAACGATCCAAATAATCACAAACCTCTGTGTATTTTTGCCAAAGACAAACAATTAAGCAGTAACATTTCCTCAGGATGATCCACCTTTCAGAACTCGTTTGGCTGTGCCACCCGATTACGAGAACGTGGCGGACTTCATGTGCGAGGCGTACTACAAACACGAGCCGACAGTGCTCAACATCGGTCTCGGCGGCACAGAAGCGCCACCAATCTGGAGGAGCATGATGCTGGAGCAAGTGAGCGCCGGTTATTCCATCATCGCCGAGAATCGTGACAACTGTATAATCGGCGCCGCGTTAAATTGCATAATCGGTTGCAACGAATCGAAAAAGCTGTGCAAATTGTCGCGATGCTGCGACGACGGACCGATTCGCGACATCATCGAGTTCTTCGCTTTCGTGATCGACGCGCCTAAAATCTGGCAACGTTTCCCCGTCGAGAACGTGGCGTTCGAGCAGGCCAGCTTAGCGGTGGACTGTGATTATCGAAGGTTAGGAGTTGCCAAGAGATTGCTCCAGGAAAGTTGGCACCTGTCACGCGACTGCGGCTACCGTTTGTTCAGGCTCGACTGCAATAACAGGTGAGTCGAGTCTCGTTTCTAAACCAATTCGAACACGCACGCACATACACACACACACACACACACACACACACACACACACGATTCAACGAAATTTGTTTCTCGCAGCTATTGCGCGAAGATAGCTCAACAATTAGGATGGCAGATGGTTTGGAGTATGCCGTTTTGCCAGTACGTCAGCAACGGCAGAGTTGTGTTCCAACACGTCCAACAGCCACATTCTGAGTGCCGCGTTTACATTGCTCTGTCTCCCTCACGAAAACTGTAAAACTAGTTCACGTTCTGCATCGTTTTCACATTGAAAGAACAAAAAAATTGAAATAAATATTCCTTTGTAGCTGAAATTGTCAATTTTATAGCTCGTTTCCTCGTGTTAATATTCGTTTTAATATTTTCGTTTCATCGTTATTAACGTATGATCTCTCCTCTTTCCGAATGATTGAAAATTTACTTGTTGCAGTAAGAATGAGATCAAGACAAAATTCATATCTCGTTCGTGAGTGCAATTTTGCACGTGTATAGATGATTCTGGGAAGCTGAATAAGTGAGAAATAAGTGATATACAAATTCGAATTACGAACAACTTGAGAAGTTTCCAAGGTACCAAAGTTCTAGGGAAATTATCATGAATGTTACCCACTGTCGCGAATAGTTCCTTGAATCTAGCCAACGTCGTGAATCTTAACTGATTTTCAGAACTTTGGTGATGTTGGATGTACCGACTGGCTCTTAATGGAAAAAATAGCAGAATTAAAAGCAGAAAAGATAATTATACGAATTGCTAATTTCTCCACGAAATTTCATTGTATCCAGCGTAGCGATTGCTTTTGTGTCTCGTTCATCATTCGAATGCGAGAAATTTAAAATTTAATGTGTATAATCTATATAATATGTCAAACGTTTTACAGGGTAGACCGAAAATCACTTTCTATTAAAATAAATCCATAATTTTTATATTTAAAAAAAAATTTTTTCTTTTGCAGATTAAAATACACACAAAAGAAACATCTGAATTGATAAAATTAGTTTTTTTTTCTTGCACTTTGATAATTTATTAAAAAAAAAAAGTAGGTGAGAAGAAACGTTTGGCCCACCCTGTATCTCTTCAATTGCACTCGCCTAGTGTGCGATCTCGCACGAATATCCGCAGTCGATCAATTCGTCATAATTTGTAAATCGCAAGCTCAAAGACCGACTAACAAGACGAACTTGCGATACTGTCATCTCTCGAACTTCGAACTTTTTTCAATTAGAGAGAAAAGATACGGTTCGCCTCTGTCCTCGCCTCAGCGCCCGGATGAAAACACCCGAGTTCGATGACTCGGTTGGCCCCCATCGGCGGCGCGAAAGTTCGCCAATCGAACGGAATAAAGCGGCGGTAACATTCAAATGAAATTCTCTGATATTTGACTTGTAAGCTCCGTCTCGACGCGAAACCCAGGCTTTCGAAAGGCGACTTTCGTCGGACGATGGAATTACAAATGCCGTTTGCCGGAAAGAGAGACAGAGAACGTCAACTGCGTTCTGGGGGAGTTTCCCAGCAATCGATGGCGAATACGGCTCGCCTAAGTTCGACTCGCGAGATGAAAGCACGACATTCGCGGGAATGCGAATCTGTCACGATTGATTGGACTGGATCGAGATCAAGTCCAATATGTATTTATAGAATCCTCGAGTCAAATTCGGTGTCCAAGTTTCGTTTCACGACGTCCGAGTGCCACTCCGGAGTGAACATGTTTGTTTCGTGTTTGATCTGTTTCACGTATTCAATTTTATGTTATTTACGTACTTCATATCATTCATTTTATATCGCCGTTTATATTATTTATCTACGTTATCATTGTATTGTTCATATACTTTATTCACGTTTTTGTATTCGTTTACAGAAAGAATAAATAAATTCGTGAACGTAGCGAAATGAACGTACTCATTTTATACGAGCAACAAATGAATAATACGAATGATATACGAATACATATGAATAATACATTATTTTTATACACATACTGACATGTACAATATACAAGTAATAAATAAATTCATAAGTGAATATGTGCATTTTATAACGAGCAATAAATAAACACATGTTCAATATAGTTTCGTATACGAACAATACAACGTTTACATCCATGATATACATATTCAGATGAATACGAATATAATGTGCAAGTATATGAGTACATACACATATGGATGTATTTTATGCATACTGAATTACTTACGAGTACGTTTTCAAAATTTGCACGTCATTTTAAATGAATGAATGTGTTCAACTTGAATGTATTCAGTTCGAATATATTTATTTTATATATACGTGAAATCGACAGAATCACACTAAAGAACGTCCATCAGTTCAATAATCGGGGATTTCCTAAACTATTAGAAGTATCCATAAGTAATGTCGTTTTTTTTGATGACTGTACAAAATTTTATTTAATACATAATTCGATCTATAATTTAACAACAAGTACGCTAAATGTCAATATATTTAACTAGAACATAGGTCATGTTGTAATAAGTAAAATTATTGTCACTAGATGGTAATGTTTATTAAATTTAGAAAAAAACAACATTACTTACAAGTACCCCTACTAAAACATGCATATATCAATTGTTTCAAAGTGTTGTTTCTTATTTCTCGATTGTCAGGTTGAGTCACATTTATTTATTTATTCGTTTATTCTACAGTGTTCATATAAGATACAGTAATAAAAGAAAATACAAAAGGGAAAGAAATATTCGAAACGATCATTTTAGCAAAAACGAAACAAATTTCGTTAGAGTCAAAGGAAAATTGCAAAGAGGAGTAGTAAGAAAGATTATAAAGAGCTCGAGCCGAACCTACTCGTGATACTCTCCTCGATTCCACGTCTAACGACGACCGCAATGGAGAAATAACAGTCGTCGAACGAGCGAGACAGGTTGTTGTAACGAGGTCCCGGCCGCGGGAATGAAACCGATTCGCGATACATAAATCGTCGTGTGCTGCCGTATATTTTTTACCGTCGACAGGTTCGAAAGTGGCCGGCAAATTGCCGGTCGAATTGATCTATCGCCGGCTGAGTTGACTCATTTGTAAAACAATTTCAGACAGATGCCCGGCCGTCCATTACCGTCTCCGTTATTGCCGGAATTCAGAACCGGCGTCTGCAAACACTATGATCCAACCCGCTACTATGATTCAAACCATGCAATCGCGATCGTTTTATGAGATAGTCGTCGGCACCGGTATTCGATTAGCACGCGCAATTGCAAATTAGTTGGGCAAACTACGATTTACGACGTATCACGGGCAATCTGTGAATTCTTCAGGTTCAATTGGTTGACCGCGGAACATGGACAGTGGACTCGCTAATATCTTTTGAACAACATCATCTTATCGTTTGGTAATCTTGGAAATTTTAAGCAATCAATTATATAATTTATGTATTTCTTTCTTTTTTTTTTTGATTTTGTTAAGAAGGAGTTGTTATCGCGTGGTTACAATAGTTGATTGGCACGATTGATTATTAGGATTTGATTCGAAGTAATGACACTGTAACGTTACGTTCGAGTATTTTTGTTACTTGTCACTTGCACAGTTTTAATGAACATCGTGTGATTTGATATTCAATCTTGCATTTTGTACATTTAATGAACGTGTATGATGTACGTAATATCGGTCGTTTTATTTTCTCTGTCAATGTAAGATTGTAGATTTAATATAAGATTGATTGTCTATTCTTTTAATAATATAAAATTATATTCCATTCTCTTAACATGAAATTGAAAACAAAGAAATTACATTCCATTTTTAGGCATTTGTATTTCATATTATATCTGTACTTCAAACCTGATCTGCACACTTGCAGAAGAGGAAAAGGAAATTTTCCTTCCTTATCACACAAGGAAAATTATACAGGATAAAAAAAAAACGAAAGCATTGAAAAATACATGTTTCCGTCAGAAAGGTTTGCTTCTTTTTTCGAACACGAAGCAAAAAGCACGCGACAGATACATTTTGTTTCCTTGCAGCCGACTGGATACACAATGCAAGCGTCTATTCATAATAAACAACGATGAAACAACCCAGGCAAACGTACACGGTTTCGTACAATTTTATCTCGTAAAGTATCAAGTACCATGCAAGTTTCCGGCCGGACGTTAAGCTAATATGTAACCGGAGGCTCTGTTCGTTCGTGAACGGTTTAAACGAAAAGGCGCTTTGGCCTGGCACAAAACGAGCACAAGAACGCGAAGAATTAAACAGAACGTTTTACAAAGGAAAGGAATAGTGACAGTCGCAAGAAAAAAAGGATTTAACTCCGGCGACGCTTTAATTAAATCGACATGTGCGTGGCTCTTTCTTTGAAACCACGCGTACGAGATTAAAGAATCAACGAAGATGGAAAAGAGCTTCTTGAATGAAACTGTGACGATGGTACTCTGTCTCTATTTACAATATTCTTCTCGTTATCTGACTTTCCAAATATTCATACAACAGGAACTCACCAGCTCCTTCTTTATCTTCGCTAATTCGACGTTGCCGAAACTGATCATCGATCAAGTGCATACAAATAGAGTTATATTGTATTATAAATTACTATAAATGCTATATTGTACTATAAATTACTATAAATGCTATATTGTACTATAAATTACTATAAATGCTCAAATTACTATAACTATTCAAATAAATTACTATAAATTACCATAAATATTCAAATAAATTATTATAAATACTCAGATAAATTATTATAAATTACTATAAATATTCAAAAGTAACGTTGTACTGTAAATATTCTTGATAAAAAGAAATTTCGATCGAACGCAAAAGCTCGAAGAAGACACTGTAAAATGTTGCCGCGTTTTGAAACGCACACGTAAGCAGATGATAAAATTAATCCGAAGCCGTTCGAGCCGAAATTTCAACGTTCTTGACTCGATCCCCGGGTGGTAACGAGGGAAAAGGGGGGATTAAAGAGAATTTCAGTGCAAGAGCGATTCTTCTGGTCGAGCGAGAAGACCACGCGCTCCCCGAGGCTGAACCTTCGAGACTGAATCAAATCGATGGAATTCGACACCGGGTTTCCGCTAGAAAAACCACACTTCTCTCTGGCGAACGGCGGCTCCCACGTCAATGACACGACGATTTGTCGTCGCTTTGAATTCGCTACGAATGCAATTTTCCCTTCCCGAGGTAATATCGCCGAGCGGGGAACGACAAAGAACGTTCGTCACTCTTTCGCATCGACGAAAGGGATTCTACGTTAAACCATTTGCACCGCGGAGAGGAACAACATTTACTCTGTATCGCGTCGCAGGCAGCGAGCGATTCA